AAATTTTCACTAAACAGATGTTACAATCATATTCATGGTCAAATTAAACATTTACTTTTATTCGTGGTTCCGGCACTACTATCGTTATTTCCAGGAGCCTACTGGGCATTTCCACATACTCCGGCCCTCAAGTTATAGACCTAGAGGGCTCCTTTTACCGCGGCCTCTTGCCGTGAGTCTGATCCACCCGCCATACAGAACAGTGTACAATGTTCTCATTCAGGCCGGTGAGAGGGAGCTCTTGTTCACTTTTTGCTGACCTAGAGTTCCAAAGCCAAAGGCTCAACTCTGCCTGACAGTTTCAAGAAGAAGAAGAAGAGAATATTATAAAATCTTCGACAATTTAATACGAGCCTATCCACGCGGCCCTTTCGGTGGTACCGGCCCACCGGGCATTTGCCCGAGTGCCCATATAGCCAGTCCGAGCGTGATTACTTCCTCAACCTCAACGGAAAAGAAGATGGCGTGCTGTGGTGTCGCTATTCTTGGGGGGTGGGGTATACTATAAATATGGGACTCTATTTCTTGATAAAAAAAAGCATGAAATCTAGCATATTTACGTTATTGATGTGTTACATTTACAAAGTTACATTATTGATGTGTTACATTATTTACACATTTACATTTTTGATGTTTTACATTATTTACACATTTACATTTTTGATGTTTTACATTATTTACACATTTACGTTTTTTGATGTGTTACATTATTTACACATTTACATTTTTGATGTGTTACATTATTTACACATTTACATTTTTGACGTGTTACATTATTTACAAATTTACACTTTTGATGTTTAACATTATTTACAAATTTACATTTTTGACGTGTTACATTGTTTTAAAATTTACATTTTTGATGTGTTGCATTGTTTACAAATTTACATTATTGATGAGATATGATGTACAGATCTGCATTATTGACATACTACATTACAAATGTACATTATTGATGTGTTAGATTATTTACAAATTTACATTATTGATGTGTTGATGCAAGAAGCTGCATTGTTTGACCGGACTACGTAGATTCTATTTTTACTTTTTTTTTTTAATGATAAGTTTAAAAATTGTAATGTCAATACATTGAAGATGAAATGTAGCGGAAACATAAAGTAAAGGTTGATAATTGGAGACTTCAGTAATATCACTGATAGTGTCCCTTTACCTAGAAACCAACTCGGTGAGTCGAAATTGTTTGTAGACAAGGTTTATGGTATAAGACAACCTTGACTCTGGACTAAATATTTGCCCATCTTGTTGCTTCACCCCCCCCCCCCCTCCAACTTTTTTGCAACTTAACATTATTGATTCGGTCAAGGGTATGGTGATCATTTGTTTCCGATTATCGAAAAGAAAAAACAAACACACACACATACAAAACAACAAAACATTTTGTTTATAGTTTCACACATTTTACAAGCAGGCAACGGCAATTTACTAGCATGTCTAGAAATGTCCAGATTTTTTTTGTGTGCCTTCTAAGATTATTGAAGTTAAAACGCTACGGCGCATTTGGTGGCAGAAGTAACAATGAGATGCGCTGATACTTGACAGACACTTCAAACAAATATTGTTAGCTCGAGATTTGGCAGACGGGAAGAAAAGGAAGTGATGATAGTGGGATTGTGGGATAGGAATAAGAGTCAAAGGAGATTTTTTCTCCTTTAAAAAAAAGGGGTCGGTAGATGTTCACACGAGAAAGTGAGTAACTTCAGTTTATCAAGGAGTCATCTTTTTTTCTTTATCATTTTGGCTCATAGAGTCTATATTGCACACTGTTTTTGCCTCTTTTTATTTTTGACTGGCTGCACAAATTCACAAAGTCATCTTCTTGGGGTATAATAGTTTTTAGATAGTTATCTGGTCGTGTGGTATCAGTATGCGTTCTGTACTGTTATCTCGATTGTCCACAGTCCTGCGAAAGTTAAGACTATGATATAAGGCTATAATAGTATTTCATTATGAAGATACGCCCAAAACATTTTAAATAAACAGGTCTCATCACAAAGCAGTGACGCCTTGACGTACCTTGATTTCATGGGTGTAGCCAGGACTTGTTTTCGGAGGAGGGATGTTGGGGGGATTTTTTATACCCCCTCGGAGAATCGAACCCTCAGCCATCGACTCCGATGGTGTACGACTGAGCTAACTAGCAGGTAAAGGCGTATTGCAGATACGAGGTTACATGATTACCCTCTAATAAAGCACACGATACATGTTATTTGTATGTTCTTTAAACTTGATTAAGGGCCTATATGAAAGACAAAGTTTTGATGATACATAATTTACTTTATTGTTTTGTGGGATCTTGTTTAATAAAAGGTGTTTGATCACTAAATAAGATTTGTAAAAACATAGTTGACACCGATATGCTCTGTTATGATTTAATTATGGAATATCTAAAAGTTCAAAACAAAATTTTCTTTGCTTGTGTATCTTTTAGTTTATAAGGTTGTAAAAGTGGGTAGCTGATTGCTGAAAGAAGGAATCAAACCTATGAGAGTCAAAGTTAAAAAAATTTTTAAAACATATGATGTATAGAAGGAACAGCAAGTGTCTATAGCGTTTTTTGGGAAAAGCGGCGTCGCAGACTCTGCAAGGGTGTAGCACTATGTGCTTAAACTGCTGAAGTGTCGCCGGCTTCTAATTTTCCTATGAGTTGACTCCCGAATCCTTTCCCATATAGCTTCAAGAATATAAGCAGTCCACTACCTACAAAAAGCTTCAAATGACATTTGTCTCAAATAGCCCGTGATAACCAAGTCCATCCTTCAAGTGTGTTAACTATAGTGAAAAGGGGGGGGGGGGCAATTCAGGTTGTTGACTTAAAGATTGTTTTTGTTTTGGATTGTTCATTACTTGGTTACATTAGCGCTGAAATGCACATTCGTATATTATAGAGGGCAAGAACTTTGACATACTCCTTCAAATAATCGATGGAAGAGTCTTAAAAAAAACAGCAAATAGTGTTCATGATCTATTCTCTACAAAATTTCCCCTTGTTTCACACTTCATCTGTGTCGACATTCCAATTATTCATTTTTGGACAAAGTCATGTACGACGTAACACCAATATGAAGTCTTATCTTCTTATCTTATATAATACAGACGTTACTTCAAAAAAAGAAGATGATTACGTCCTACGCGTCATGCATTTAGTCATGCATATTAACCAATGACTTATATTCTGCCAAGTCACTAGTTTTCCTGGCTAGCTCAGGCAACCCATTCCATGCTCTAATAGCACTAGGGAAGAAGGAGTATTTGTACAAATTTGTCCTAGCTTATGGGACGAGGAATGTGCCTTTATCTTTGTGTCTTTCTGAGTATTTTATTAAATTTTGTTTTTGTATTTGAAGATTATGGTTCAGTGTGTTATGTATAATTGCTACTTTACTTTTGAGTCTTCTGTCCTGAAGGCTTTCTAAATTTAGTGATTTTACTAAAGGTTTTAGTTTTGTCAAGTGTGAATATTCGTTTGTTATGAATCTCACTGCTCTATTTTGTGTCTGTTCCAGTTTCTTAATGTTTTCTTGAGTTGAGGGGTCCCAAACAGAGGACGCATATTCTATTATTGGCCATGCACCGGTACTGGGTCCCTCCAGTGTCAAGTCATGCATTGCGACACACCAGTGGGAAATCGCGTACTTCGTCACACCCCTGTATTGAGAGATATGGCTACAGTCCCTTTCCCTTATCTCAACTCTGTTGTTTTTAAAGTGTTTTTTTATAGTTTGCTTGTAACTGATATAATAGCTGAGTTGGGGGTACACCACTGATACTTTATACCCTCGTGTTGTCAATATGATTATACGTTGTACAGAATGAGACTAAATTTTAATACTTTATAACACAATCTTTCCGGACATCAGGACATTTTGAGCCACTTAACTTTGGTAAATTGCTAATGTCAACCTATAGAAGATTTGATTGTCCAGGCTCTATAGATTGCATTTCGTATAGACTTTTGGGGTTCAGCATCTACCGTACCGCTACAAAACTATTTACAAGGTAAACAAAAAAAGTGTTTAAAACCTGGATTGCAAGACGGGAATATTATGAAGTATGTGTGCGCGTGTTGAGTGTCTAATGAAACTTTTAGGTAGTATTGTAGAAGGTGAGTGTTTTTTTTTAGACCAAAACGTTGTTTAATGTCCTTCATTACATTTCAAATCAACTAATGCAACCAGTAAGGAATCCAATAAACATTTTAATTTCATATAATACAAGCATCTCTTACTAAATTCTTGATTTTTTACATTGTGACCGAAAATGTTGAGCTGTTAATTCATAAACATGTTGCTGGCCAGACTTAGCCTCTCTGCAGGTCTAATGTTGGCTCAACGGGGTGAAGTTATTTTTTTAAAGAAATATATGTGATCCGCACTTCGCTTTTTTTGTTTAATTCAGTATTTTTTTTTATTTATATCAATTTCTTATGCACAACACAAAAAAACCCAACAAAACAAGGCGATAAAAAGACTTCTGAGGGCTCCGTCATCATAATTGAATGTTCCACAATATCTGCTTCAGCGGAGCCCAAATGTTTTCATTTATATTGTAGAGCGAATGATATATAGTCCAACTGCCATTTTTCCCCCCAGAAACATTGTTATAGTCAACACTGAGGATAACACACAGTGCGATAAAAAACTTCCGAGGGCGCTGTCGTTGTGACAGAATGTCTATGGTCTCCACTGCACGGGAGACCCAAGTCAGCCCAAGTATGGTGAAAACAATAAGTTATAGTGAGTGAAAGTTGATTTTGCGAATCGTTCATCAGCTTGTCATTGTGTTTCTACATTAAAGTTGACATCTTTAAATATTCGCTTTGGTTTGTCTCTATAAAAAAGCTTTATTCAATATTTGTGTAAAAGTTAAATTTTCAGGCTTTATTCAATACTAGCCATTTGTTACCCGCGGCACGCGAGTCTTAATTTGCGTAGCACTGTCGATAAAGTCACAGAGTGGTTTAGAAACAACTAAATGAAATAATAATGTTATAAGTAAAGCGAATGCATGAATGTAAAAATAATATGAATGTAGCTATCAAAATAGCTAATCGACCTAAATCCATTTTTTAAATAAAAACATTTGCTTGTAGATTTTCCTCCTGCTCGTACGTGGAGCCTTCACACTGCTCATGCGTGACCTCTGCTCATGCGTGACCTTTCTCTTTCTGTCTTCTCTAATGAAAGAAGCTCGCGATGAATGGGATATAAAGTACGTCGACTATATTTTGTATCTTTATGTGTCACAGTAACAAAAAAAATATTTGCAAAGTGTAGTTCTTAAAATTAGATCTAGATCCTTTCGATCTTGTCTCATGACCTAGATCCATGAAATAGTAATACTTTCATACAGTTGGTAACTTTTTTTTTGTTGAGGGTTTTAAGTTTGTTTTAGGGCTCTACTATTCGAACGTTACGGTTCCAGTTAATACGCAAGGAACATTTATTATTTTATCAAGATTGGTCAAATGGTTTTGATTTCTATGTGGGAAATACCTGCATACATACGCCTTACTTTCTGCTTTATAGTACAGATTTGTGTAAAAGTTAAAATTTTCAGGCTTTATTCAATATTTGTGTAAAAGTTAAAATTTTCAGGCTTTATGCCATAGACCTTAATATATTATATCTAGACTGGACATAGAGATCTTTTAACACTACAAAAATGATTTGTAAAGTAGGTATAAGAAGTAATTTTGTTCAACCCTAACCTTTGTAACATATTACTTAATTTTCAGGTCTAGATCTAGTAATGGACCTCATTCACCAATCGTAAACAAACAACATTTAGCCACGTGAAAATATTGATAAAACAACGAAAATTACGTATCACGTGACAGCCTATATGGATTGCGTAATTTGTATAGAAGATATAGAGTACCACGGGGCAAAATGTTTGTTTACGATTGGTGAATGAGGTCCATTGAACATTAAAAATAAGAGTACTCTCGTCTCATAATTATTATTTTGCAATTTTTAGATACATAATCTAGAAAGATCTAGGTAATCAATCTATTTAAATGTACATAAGATGATTAAAATCAATGAATAATTTCAATCTAGGATTTTTGAAACATTATCTCAATGGAAACTAACAGGAAATGGCTTTGTTTCATATATTTGCGGCAATATATAGTTCTGTGATCATAGACATAAATAAATATGGACTGGCAGATAAAAGAGTTTTATGAAACGAAAATTTGTGACTTGCAATTTTGTGTACTTTATTATACAGCATTTATGAGGAGTATAAAAGTTAAGTATTGATATCTATTTCAGCCATAACCTATATATAAGTATTACAATATTTTCGCTAGTGTTTTTTTTTAATTTCTAAGAATGAAGATCATGCAACTTTTCAGAATTCGAAATCCGACAACAATAGTTGTACATGTTTTCAAGTTACATGCAGTTATTTCCTTTTTCCAGTCTATATTTATTTATGTCTATGTCTGTGATTAATAGCCCATTTAAAAAAAAATCCGAGAAATGAGTTTGCATTATTTCTAAACTTTGAAAACTAAAGATCATTACTTTTCTAAGACAGAAAAGATTGATTTTCCTAGATTAGGGGCAACTTCCCCTACAGCTTGAAAAAGAGTTACGTACATAAAAATCTATCTATATATATATATATAGGTCTGTGAATCGATTAATCGCGGACAAGAATTTGTTTCCGATTTCCAGTCTAGATATAACATTATGTCTTATGCTTTATTCAATATTTGTGTAATAGTTACGTTATACGCCTACAAAGATTATATAGCGTTATCAGCAGAGGGGTAACGACTCATCAAGTCAGAGCAGCATTTGCACCCTGGCCTATTACCATGATTTATTAGTTGCTATGAGGCGCGGTGGCTGAGTGGTAGTGCGCTTGGCTTCCGAATTCAGTGGTCGTAGACAGGGATTTTTTTAATTTCAAGAACTTAAGGGAGCTCATTCCATCCAACTTTAATGGGTCGTTGTGCTGGCCACATGACACCCTTGTTAACCATGAACCACAGAAACTGATGACCTTTACACTACCTGACCCATAGATCGAAATATGTGAAAGAAGTACTTTACTTTTTACTTCTAGTTGGTCTGCCATTCATTCTTGGAAATGTTCAAGCATAACCGAGTCTGTCTTAATAACAAGAGGCTAACTTCCTGGCACATTTGTCAAGAAAAGAAGCCAAATCAATTTTAACTAAAGTTTGATTTGAAATTTAAAAAAAAAAAATCAAATACAAAGCCGACAAAGAACAATATACAAACATTACTAGCGCTGGCGACACAATGTCAAGTCTCATTGAAAAGTAAGAAATATTTTTTTGTATTGTAAAATTTGATGACAGTAAATAAGTTACAGAGAAAGCAAAAAATCTCATCAATGTTGAATGGTACAGAATGAGCAAATACATTTTGTAAACACTTGCCAACTTTTATCAGAATTTTGTGCTAGACATTTGTAAAAACACATGCCAACTTTTAACAGAAATTTGTGCTAGCAAACATCACAATGCCTGTATTCTACGCAGGAAAACAAAACACTGTTACATAAGTGTTGCTGTTTATATAAGCTGAAATATAACATGAGCTTGTCATGATTACAAGAAAACATTGCCAGTTGTAAAAACATGGATATGTTTTACTTTAAATTTCATGAATACAGATGCATTTTTCTTAGCCATGTGTAGAACTACATATATAAATGCTAACATATTATAGATTCGCGAGAAAAAAAAAGGTTTCACTTTAAGAAAAAAAGTTACGGCCTTTTTAGTTTTGAATTCTTTTTTTACGATAAAATTTTGTTGTCTATTTATTTAGGTCCCAGTGGCGAAATATCTTGCAATCAATTAATCAATTAAATTAATCGTTATAACAATGAAATAAAAAAAAATAAAGCTTTGTAACAAAGCCATAACATGCAAATAAAAAAAAAAACACACATTCACTTGACCAGATTTTTCTGCATTCATTCATACGTCACATGATGACTTATTCCATTCATAAATTGTCGTCCTCTAGTGGTGCCAGGATGGACTGCTTGATAACAGCTACTGAACAGAATTTCGAGCAGGCGATGTTGCAACCATCTCCATGACTTGAAGTGCGAGATGAAGAAGCAAGGGCGACCACTGTTCATTTGAAGACATTTCCCACTTTCACGTCACACATTCGAATCCTATCAACCGTCTGCAAGAAAGGCGTGGCAATGCTTTGACATTTGGAGTTCCTAAGCAGTCTTTTCCTGTTCAATGGCTGCGAAGTAAAAAAATAACATGACATTGAAATGATTTCTAAAAAAATATCCTATACATTAATAATTAAGTATTAGGCCAATAGCCCGACAAGTAAAGTATAGTTCCCCTTTCAGACCTTGTGGTCTATAGGGCAGATGATGTAAAGGTCATCTGTTTCTGTGGCCCACAGTTAACGAGGGTGTCATGTGGTCAGCACAAAGACCAACCTCCTTTACTTTTCCCCAATTAATGACAGGTACCCATCAGAGCTGGGTGGACTCAGAGGTGAATTTAAAAATCCCAGCCTTCACCAGGAATCGAACCCAGGACCCCTCGGTTTGGAAACCAAGCGCTTGACCATTCAGCCACTGCTCCTCCACTATTGTCCGATATTACTTTACAAATGTATAGAGCACATAGAAAGAAAAGGCAAGGATCTTCAACCGCTAAAAATAGATTAAATTTTTCGACTAATATAGGTCTCACAATGCCCATTCAAAATATTAATATTCAAAATAACAAAACCATTTTTCTTTTACGTATGCGTAAATTGATTAGGAGATGATAGTTAGTGGAATAATACATGCAGACTTATGAAGAAGTTGAATACGTGTAATACTTCACAAGTCACGTGAGCATAGACCTTGTAAATTAGAACAATTAATACAACTTAATGGAAAGCTACCTTCTACGTTGAATTTGGTAAAATACGATTCATGACCGTTTTAACAAAACCATTTAAACATTCTTGAATTTATACAGCGAATGTCTCTTGAACATAGCATGCCCTGGCGCTGATCATAATCTGACTACAATGTTACAATATTAGATTCTGCTGTTATTTCTCAAATGAAGATTATGACGGGTGGTGGGGGGGGGGGGGAGGTAGGTGGAGACCATTGTAATGACCGCTCGATGAGAATACCTCACGACCAGGCGGTCGCAAAAAGCTTATGACCATTTAGTGACGAGGCATTGCACAGAAACACTGATAAGTTGGAGCAGAAACAAGATACACTGATAAGTTAAAGCAGAAACGATATACACTGATGGTAAGTTGAACCAGAAACAGGATACACCGATGATAAGTTGAATCAGAAACAATATACACTAATGATAAGTTGAATCAGAAACAGAATACACTAATGTTAAGTTGAATCAGAAACAAGATACACTGATGATAAGTTGAATCAGAAACAAGATACACTGATGATAAGTTGAAGCAGAAACAAGATACACTGAGGATAAGTTGAAGCAGAAACAAGATACACTGAGGATAAGTTGAAGCAGAAACAAGATACATTGAGGATAAGTTGAATCAGAAACAAGATACACTGATGATAAGTTGAATAATAAACAAGATACACAGACGATAAGTTGAATAAGAAACAAGATACACTGACAATAAGTTGAATCAGAAACAATATACACTGACGATAAGTTGAATCAGAAACAAGATACACTGATGATAAGTTGAATCAGAAACAAGATACACTGACGATAAGTTGAAGCAGTGGAACCTGTTATCGTGAGAGTCACCAAAAATACGAGTCATAAAGAAAAAGAAATCGACTTAACTCCCTTAGTTAGGTCCAAATGACTTCACTAGTCTAATGGAACGGGACCAACAGGGGAAAAAAATGAAAAACAGAATGATCTAAATCAGCGGTTCTCAACCTCTTTAACTCGGCGACTCCTTTTTACAACCCCCCCCCACTCTGCCGCGACGCCCAACCCCCCGAATGACACATACAGCAATAGAAGAGTAGGCAATAACAATCCATATTTTCGATGGTCTTTGGCGACCCCTGGCAAATGGTCAATCGACCCCCAAGGGGGTCGCGACCCACAGGTTGAGAACCCCTAATCTAAATAAAAATACCAACACACTAGTAGGAGATTTGTGGTTGAATGTGTACTTGATGTGTGGTTGAATGTGTACTTGATGTGTGGTTGAATGTGTACGCGGTGTGTGGTTGAATGTGTTCGTGGTGTGTGGTTGAATGTGTACGTGGTGTGTGGTTGAATGTGTACGTGGTGTGTGGTTGAATGTGTACGTGGTGTGTTGTTGAATGTGTACGTGGTGTGTGGTTGAATGTGTACGTGGTGTGTGGTTCAATGTGTACGTGGTGTGTGGTTGAATGTGTACTTGATTTGTTGTTTAATGTGTACGTGGTGTGTGGTTGAATGTGTACGTGGTGTGTGGTTCAATGTGTACTTCATTTGTTGTTGAATGTGTACTTCATTTGTTGTTGAATGTATACATAATGTGTGTTTCAATGTGTACGTGATTTGTTGGTTGATGTGTTGGTGAATGTGTTGGTGAA